AACTGCTATTAGCAGGAGTTAATAAACTAGATAGCCTGTTACAAGAAGGGCAAAAAAGTAGTGTAACGTGAAAGACAAACAAATAAAAACAGAAACTTCTTTACAGCAAAGTTCTTCCAAAGACTGCTATAAGCTAAACTTTCAAGAACAACCATGGAAACTAACTTGTAGGACCAAAAGCTGAAGGCGCACCAGCATGCGTGCCCCCGTACAAACCAGATGATAAACAACTAGTGTCCGTTTCATTTAGCTGATCAATAATGGTTTTTATAGCACTATTTACTTCTGTATGCTTTGAATCCCGTAATCGGTGCAAAATCTGCATAGCTTTGGCGTTCATCCTAGAAAACGATTAGGTAAAGGAAATCCCCTGTAACCAATTAAATTCCTTCATAAAGCTGATCCATAAGTAAGGACAAAACATACTTCACTTGTGCTCTCAAGTGATAATTAATCTTCATAAGTTGCAGAAGAACGAACAGGCAGTTCGCAATAACCGTAAAAGAAGAACTCCGTAAAAGATCAATTAAACGCAGCACCATCTTATGTAAAGAGGAGGTAGGTAAGTACTTGTTTATATCAATCGCTGCGAAACTTAAAGATGCGTATTTTAAGACACCGGTAGCAGACTCTACTAATGGCTGAAAAAAAGCTTAGATTTTTTATAAATAATTTTTTCTTCCAGACAGTTGAACAACAACTACCAAACTAAAGCGAAAAGATGAAAAAGCTTTACCGTAAGCTGCGGATCATCTACAAGCAAATCGACTAGCATTTCCAGAAATTGTGGATGTTCACAAATAGCTCTTTGATTCTGGACAGAAAATGAAAGATTCCAAAGAGCACATAGTGTGGAACAGAGGCATTTCAAATTCTTGATTGAATAAGCACGCAAAGAAGCTTGGGCAAGGACAGGTACCGTGAGGCACAATTGAGTGTTCATCTCAGAATCTGCATTCCAAGACAAGTTGCGCAGAAGAGCTGCGTACACCTAGAAATGAATCGTTTTATCATCAAAAAGAAAAGAGTACTATGTTCAAAACCAACTGTATCACTAAAAAGAAGGAACTAAACAAACTTGAGCTAAGATCTGCATCTCGTCAATAATTCTGATAACGCATTCGATGAAGTTAGGGTAGTTACACAGGCGGCGCTTTCTCTGTAGATCACCATAAGTGAGATTTGTCAGCGCATTAGCTATCAGTTTGCGCACAGCCACACTTTCTTGAGAACAATGAACACCAAATGTGTCCACATCAGACACTAATAATTCTGCCAAAATTTCCGGAAAGTCTACAATAACCGACTGCAAGATTTTTCCTCGAAAAAAATAAAGCTAAACTGTGAAAAATAAATGTCAACTGCCTCGAAATTCTCAATTACATACTTCAACCGTCCTTTTAAAAAAATCTGTTTATTAGAAACCCTTATAAAGATTGAAAAACTGTTAAAATAAACAACTTACTAAGGAAATCTGCTAGCTTTCTGTAATCCTCTTCAAAAGACTGCTTTAAAACATAAGACAACTCTGAATGGAGAATTGTGAAGTAATTAGAGGCAGATAAAATCTCATTGGTATTTTGACGTTTCCTCAAGAACAACAGTTGTTCTCGAAAACTGTTTGAGGTTGAAAGAAGCATAAGTAAGCTTCGACGCCTAAAAGACTGCCTTAAAGAAATCATTTCTCCATATAACTCATCCATGCCTTCAACGCTATAAGTGGCTATCAAAAAGAGGTTTTACTGAGGACGAACATGGGTGATTCTTATTGTCAAAGTAACAGTGTTTTGCTAATAATCCAAAATCCAAAAATACTTTCTACGCGTAGAAGAACGTTACCGTCGTGGGTTATGCTCCTCGTTAACTAACGAACGAAGTTGTAAATGAAACTTCTTCAAGTCCTCCTCATCGCTTTCTTGTGGTTTTCGGCTGCGTAAATCGCTGAGCCTGTAATATCACTGATATAAGAGTTATTCAAGGCATCTTGAAAATTTATAATATTAAGAAATTTTAAGATAGTTTCCAGCTGTACTGTAATCAAAAGGGAAATGCACGACAGAAATATAAACATTAGAAACAGTGATATGTAAAACGAAGAAACAAAACCAAGCACTACTTGTATAGAGAGAGAAGCCGTTTTATTCTATCCTCTAAACCAGGCTCTATACTCAGCTCACTTTCAAGCAGAGTTGATGACGATGAAGAAGCTGTCTCAGCATGACAACTCGATGGCATCAGTTAATGAATCACTGCAATTATAAAAAAAAATCCACTTCAAGAAATGTACCAAAAAACGCTAGAAACTGTACCACAGAACGTTTGTACTTTAAAACGTGTAAGGAATCAAAACATCGACATACCTGAACATAAAACCTCTTAACGTCCTCTAAAATTGTTTTCTAAACCAATAACAGTGATATTCTCAAAATTTAAAACTGGTGCAAAAAAACGCTCAAATAGAGAGTGGGAGAACTCAAAATAAAAAAAAAGTGTCGGCAGCCATTAAAGAAAAGGTTTTCAAATATAAAAGGACGGTGACCTAAAGCGTTACTAAAGATGTTCAGTACTAACAGCTTCCTGAGGAACATGAAAGAGTATTGCCGCTTTTGGCAACTGTCCAACACGCTAAGATAATTTCTTTTCAAATTTCATCGTAATATTTTGCAGCTCTTAAGACTATCTGAAATACAGCTTTGTTTGAGAATGCATTCATTAATGATATGAATTAAATATTTTTCTTTTTCCGTTAATGCCCTATTTTTAAAGCTTCGCTAGTGCAGCTTTTACAACAATGATATCAGAAAATTTGGCAAATAGAATTTCAATAAAACAACATTAGGTTTCTATATTTTACTGTACGATGTTAGAAAAATAAGGTGTAAACTCTCGACTACTGGGAACTTCGCATTTCTCCATCATTCAATACTACCATTTGTTCGCTTATCGCTGGAACGCATCATTGGAACAATGTTTAATAACTAAAAAGCGTAAAAATATGCTTGCAAGTTACTACGATATTTCGTAAGTAAATTATATGATAATTGTGAACGTTGAAATATGTTCAGGAAGTTCATTCAAAACACCAAAAATCGGTTTAAAAGATTGCTGCTAAAATTAAAATCAAAATTTTTAAGCTTAATGTTTTATTGAGAAGTCGTTCAAACGATTACTGATTAGAATGCATAATATACACTGAAATCGAAACAGTGACTGAAACCATTTTCTGTGGTCTCAAAATCTATCAAAAATTGAATGCCGAAATCAACCCTATGATTTGAATCCACATGAATGTCAATGACAGAATGATCAAAATGAGTTAAAGCAAATTTATATGAAAACTTATGAACACTCTGAAACATTGAAAAAATGTTAAATAACTACGGTCTACGAAAAAAAAAATAAAAATTTTAAAATCCAAAAAACAGTTCCAAGAATTTTTCAAAAGAACTTTGTTCAAAAAATACCACTTCAGTTACCTTGTCTAAAAACAGAAAAGAAAGTTATCAAGCTTCAAAAAACTTGTCAGTAAACGTATCAGTAAATAATATGGAAACGGTAGTGATTTTGGTTGAGGACGATAACAAAGCAAAGCTGCTGTTATGTAAAAAGTACAGTGTCGCAGCTACGAAACAGTTTCAGCTCTCATGGTTATCGCTCGCTAAATTTTTAGTGACTTATCACTGTATTCAACATCGATTGTAACAAATTTTCCAAAGTTTTGAACCTTAAATTTTAAACTTTAACGGCCTTAAAAAAATAGTTGTAAAGAAACCTAAGATCATTTATAACAAACGAGTGTGCTTAACAAGAAACCAATCCTTTCCAGTGACCATATAGATCACCGGCTGTCTGTCGAAGTCGACATTTCAGAAAAAATCTAGTTTATGTAAATTTTTGTCGACATTCAGTATAGAAAGAATTTAATTAATGTAGTAATTGACACTGGAAAGTATTTTTATAAATACGTAAAATCTAATTTAACTCGCTGAATTGAAAACGAAAACAGTTTAACAGCTAAGAACAATTTGAAATTGAGCAAAAAAAGTTCTAGCGTATTAGTTTCATTTATATATTCTGTCGTCTTCACGCAAAAAAGCTATTTAATTATTCAACTTAAGCATCTTTCCTAGCACAGATATCATTAAACTTTCTTACTCAATAAGTTTTAATTGGGAAAATTTTCTAGCGTAGTTGATGTTTTTGATGACAAACTATTCATTGCTTGGTCATCAGTGTTCCTAATGCCACCTCATTTGGCCACTATAAAGGGTTTCTTGAACTTGAACGCATTAGATTAAGTATTCACAAAGAATAATAAAATAGAGCTAACTTTTTAAATCATCAATTTCCCACCTTCAATCAGCACAAAACTTCTTTCTGTTTTCAGCAGTTTTAAACATAAGATTTAAGACCTAAACACTTGTCTTGTGAAACATTAACACTGATTATTATCATTATTAACCAAGGATGTTCCCTTAAACGTGAATAGAGGATGTTGCAACCAAATCAAGCTCTATCCATCTGTGAAACTTCTATTATACAAAAGCAACTACCCATAAAAGACTTCGTCAAGACTATTTAACAAAACTCAAATTTTTCTCCACGGTTACTTGTAAATGAATTACTAAATTCCGCTTTACACGACC